TGGGGGGTGTGCGGGGAGTCGTCGCCCTGCCGGGCCCCCAGCGCCGTCTTCATGGCGTAAAGGTTGGCCTCCTCCTGGAACTTGCCGATGTTTTTCTTGTAGCGGATCCTCTTGTTGCCGAACCAGTTGGAGACCTGACGGCCCGAAAGAACCAGGCAGAACAAACATGGTAGAACCTCCACTTATGAATTTAACCAGGTAGAACAAACATGGTAGAACCTCCACATTTATCCAAGCAGAACAAACATGGTAGAACCTCCACATTTATCCAAGCAGAACAAACATGGTAGAACCTCCACATTTATCCAGGCAGAACAAACATGGTAGAACCTCTACGTACGGATTTAACCAGGAAGAACAAATATGGTAAAACCTCCACATACGAAACTAACCAACCAGAACAAACATGGTAGAACCTCCACATGCGAATTTAACCAAGCAGAATCATTACAGAGGAACCCCTACATACAGATTTAACTGGTTCCTGGACAGACTTCGTTATGTTAAAATACTCCTATGTTGGTTCAAATCTTCCATAAGAATACACTGTAATTCCTATAATTGGTTCCAAAAACCTACGATAACTCCTTAATAATTATTCCAGATAATTACACATAGAATTAAAACAAATGCATTATATAAAAGGGATGTAAAAAGAAATAAATGATAAAGAAATAATCACTAAAAAGGCTTTTTCTTGGCACTTTGTGGAGGTAAAGGTGGAGACTGAGATACAGGACGAACCCTAACTTACTCTGACTTTCACAATGGGAACTTTAAACTAACTTAGCTTATTTCTTTTGATTTAATTTTGACATTTTATATATTCTTCGACGCCATACGTTGGATGTCGTATGTTTGGAGATTTACTTCGGGTATCGAGTCAAATATTTGATCGAATTTCACTTCGGATGTTGGAAAATTTGTATATTTAGGCGATCTAAAGTGGAGTTTCTGCTGTAGTTCCTGAAACGAAATCAGTCAGAAACCAACTGTGCCTTCACTTTCTAACTAGTTGTTGTTTAGTTTCTGCTTTCCTGGGCCTCTGCCTCTAACCCCCCCCCCCCCCCTCACCTGGGACACGGTGATGCCGCACTGCTTGGCCAGCTCCTCCTTGGCCTCCTCGCTGGGGTAGGGGTTGGACAGGTGGGAGTAGAAGTACTCGTTCAGGACCTCTGTGGCCTGCTTGCTGAAGTTGCGCCTCTTACGTCTGTCGGGACAAAAGCAGGAGCTCAAACAGAAGCCCAGAGGGGGGGGGCAAACGGGCTTTCTGGATCTGGTTCTGCGTGCGGACTAGTCTTGTCCCGATCCGATATCTGGATCATTAGCCTAACCCACAGGTCTGTGTCCAAACCATGACGTTTTTTTGTGATAAACTTTTTTATTGCTTTTAATGAGAAACAAGTACATTAGTCCGATAAAGGTAAAAGGTATATTGCAATATATACAACTAATGCTAATACAACAGAAAAGAACACACAAAAAACAAAATATATATAAAAAAATATTAAAAAAAACATTTGAAAAAGGAACCAGGTGGCGACCCCCCACCCCCCAACTTGGATCTCTATAGAACTCTTACATGACCATGTTTCAACAACATAAACCATTAAGTTGTTATCAGAGTAAATCCCTGTTCAACATGAGTCTGACAACTAAGTAAGTAGATAAATAACTTTAAACTTTAATACATGCTCTGATAGGCCGGGATCGGTATCAGATCGGATGTGAAAAAAGAAGGATTAAAATAATCCATTTGACTTTGGTATGTTGTTCCCTAATATCCGGTCTGGTCATTTTCCATAAGTAATAGCATTAGCATTAGCATGTCCTCACCCACAGGTCTGTGTCCTCACCATTAAGACGGACATGTAAATCTGAAGCTATGGGTAAAAATGTCAGATTGTGGGATAATTTTATTCCCTGACTAAACAGGTCAGTGTCTCTTTACCAACCAATGTGTGTTATTCAAACTCACATAATTCAGATGGCTACTTGTTATCAGAGCATTAGCATTAGCATCTCCTAACCCACAGGTCTGTGTCCTAACCATTAAGTTGTTATCAGAGTAAATCCCTGTTCAACATGAGTCTGACAACTAAGTAAGTAGAATAAATAACTTTAAACTTTAACACATGCTCTGATAGGACGGGATCGGTATCGGATCCGATGTGAAAAAAAATGGATTAAAATAATCCATTCCACTTTGCTGTGTTGTTCCTTAATATCCGGTCATTTTCCAGCACACCCTTTAGCATTAGCATTAGCATCTCCTGACCCACAGGTCTGTGTCCTAACCATTAAGACGGACATGTAAATCTGAAGCTATGGGCAAAAATGTCAGATTGTGGGATTATTTTATTCCCTGATTAAACAGGTCAGTGTCTCTTTACCAAGCAATGTGTGTTATTCAGACTCACCTAATTCAGCTGGCTAGTTGTTATCAGAGTAAATCCCTGTTCAACATGAGTCTGACAGCTAATTAAGTACATAAATAACTTTAGACTTTAACACGTGCTCTGATAGGCCGGGATCGGGATGGGATCGGGGCTCACCGGGCGTCCAGGAAGCGTGAGCGGAGGATCATGACGGCCTCGCAGGTGCTCTGCTTCAGCTGCGTCTGGATGGAGCTGAACTTGCGGTGGATGATGGCCACCATGCGCTCGATCTCGCGCGGCGTCACCGGCCGCGTGCGCGACTGCTCCCGCAGCAGGTTCATCACGTGCGTGGTGAACTCCGTGCACGCCTGGGGGGGGGGGGGGGATCACAGTTAGCCTTTGGGCCGTTTCACCGCACTCAACTTCACATTATGGCTATCAAGACACTAAAATGTTCAACTCCTTACTCAGGGAAATAATCATAATAATAATAATAATAATAGTTTTTGCAACCACAAGGATAAGAACAAAGACCCCAAAATGTAACTGAATTTAAATAGGATAAATAAGCTTAGGCCTTTAATATGGCTTCTTAAAAACCTAGTTTTTAAAAATGTATTTAAGGTCTGGGGGGATGGGGGGGTGTTATTATTATTATTAGTCATTAGCCGCAGCTAGCAATTCAAGGCTAACGTCACGTTAATGATCATAAACGATGAAAATAAATAAATAAATAAATCAGAGAGAAGGGCGGGGGAGGTATCAAAACTTTTGAAAATGAGTATCGTATCCAGACACAATTTTGACAACCCTACTTCACATGCAGACTTCTTTTTATTTTTCTTAAATGAAGGCTACTCAGTTCAGCCTCCTCTTTTGAAATTCTTCATTTTCAACATTTTTGTTAGTGGAAAACACATGTAAGTGTAACTTATAACTCAAGGGGTGAGTGCCTTTGATGTCCATCAGCATGTTCACCGAAATGAAAATGCAAAAGAACCTGCATTTGCATCAGATTTCAATCAAATCAAAATTATGTCGAACCACTCACTTAGCGTTGGGATTTGAAACAAATATTTAACTTCATAAGTCCCGTTATCACGAGAAGCGGACCAGATACTCTGATTTCGGCTGAAATGTCCATGCAGAACAACTCTATTTAAATTCCTGATTCAGCTAAATGTTTCTTTGAACAGGACTCCTGAAAAACTCTCTCCCTGTCACTGAGTCTGAGGTTTTCCCTGAACCTCAGAGACTGTTAAAAAGGATGGAAATGCATTCGGAAAAGTCGACCAAAAGCAAACGGGAAGTTAGCATGTTAGCTTTTTGGAGCTCTGTGTTTCCCTATAAGAGGAAGGAAGGAAGGAAGAAAGAAAGAAAGAAAGAAAGAAAGAAAGAAAGAAAGAAAGAAAGAAAGAAAGAAAGAAAGAAAGAAAGAAAGAAAGACAGACAGAAAGAAAGAGAGAAAGAAAGAAAGAAAGAAAGAAAGACAGAGACAGACAGACAGAAAGAAAGAGAAAAAAAGAAAGACACACAGAAAGAAAGAAAGAAAGAAAAAAAGACAGACAAACAGACAAAAAGAAAAAGAGAAAGACAGACAGACAGACAGAAAGAAATAAGAAAGAAAGAAAAAAAGAAAGACAGACAGACTGACAGACAGAAAGAAAGAAAAAAGAAAGAAAAAAAGAAAGACAGACTGAGAAAGAAAGAAAGAAAAAAGAAAGAAAAAAAGAAAGAGACTGACAGAAAGAAAAAAGACATACAGACAAAAAGAAAAATAGAAAGACAGACAGACAGACAGAAAGAAAGAAAAAAGAAAGAGAAAAAAGAAAGACAAACAGACAGAAAGAAAGAAAGAAAAAAGAAAGAAAGACAGACTGACAGACATAAAGAAAGAAAAAAGAAAGAAAAAAAGAAAGACAGACTGACAGAAAGAAAAAAGACAGACAAACAGACAAAAAGAAAAAGAGAAAGACAGACAGACAGACAGAAAGAAAGAAAAAAAGACAGACAGAAAAAAGAAAGACAAACAGACAGAAAGAAAGAAAGAAATAAAGGAAAAAAAAGCCAGACAGAGAGAAAGAA